ACACACACACACACACACACACACACACACACACACACACACACAGGGGATTGAACCCAGGGCTTTGTGAATGCTAGGCAAGTGTTCTAAAAGTATCCCAGGTTGGCCTTGAACTTGGGATCCTCCTGCCAAGCCTCTGATTAGCTGGGTTTACTGGCCTATACCATCAGGCCTAATAAGGGGGGTGGGTAATATCTAAGAGAGATTAGATTTATATCAGAGTGGTGTATTGTGAACCTCACTTCCACTCCTTTAAGAAGTGAGGTGACCCCCTTTTCTCCCAGGTCATTTCCTCATTTCACTCACACCTCTTTGTCCTGACAAACACTAGAGAATATAGACTGACTTGTCCAGCTTTGGGCTAGCCTGGCATCATGGCATGACTCCAGGAGCTTTGGAAAGGTTGGGCTAACCAGTGTTTCTCTCATTCCCGCCACCAGGTGGCATCGACCCCATTCTGCGAGGTCTCATGGCCACTCCGGCTAAGCTGAACCGTCAAGATTCCTTGATGGTAGATGAGCTCCGAGACCGGCTGTTCCAGCAAGTAAGAAGGATCGGGCTGGACCTGGCAGCTCTCAACATGCAGCGCAGCCGGGACCACGGTATTCCAGGTGAGGGACCCGTTCTGCCTCCCAGGCTCCCTCAGACAGGCCTGACCTGGGGCCTCCTTTCTGACAGGAACAAGATGTACAGAGCATGTGAGATCCATGTGGATGCAGCAAAGCCCCCCCAGGAGCCTTTGCTTGCTGACCACCCGCCCCAGGTCATCCCCATCTGCTGGAGGGGCTCCAGCTTTAGGTTCACCCCAGGACCAGGACAGGGGAATGGGAACTGCAAAAGGAAGGTCAGAACTTTCTGAGCAGAGAAAAGCAATAAACAGATTTAAAAGGTATGGGAGACCTGTTCAGTTCCTCACCTCACTGACAAGTTCAAAGAAGGTTATAAACTTCCAGGGCTACAGAAATTGGAGGGCTCCTTGGTCTGAGGGGTGAAAGGCAAAGAGACTTAGAGACAGGGAACAAGTGAAATAAAATGAAGCCTGCACGGGGCTGTTTGGTGAGGACCCAAGAGACCATCACAGGGAAGGCAAGAGTAGGGACTTCCACGTACAATTCACTTAGTCCTAATGCCCTTAAAAAGAGGTAGCCCAGTCATCATAGATGTGGAAATAAGGTCAGACAGCTAGTCCTCGTTCAAGGTCACAGAAGCATGAAGTAGTAAAAATCTGAGTTCCAAATAGCTTCCTTTTCCCTTCATTTACCATTAGGAGGTTTCAGGCCTGGCTTGCCTCTCTTCCTTCCCACAACTCTAAACTCTCTGACTAAACAGAGCCTGAAGTCCCATGTGCCCCGAGGCCCTCACATATGTATAAAGGAGTCAGGAGGCTTCCCGCTGCCTACTTAATACAGCAACTGACAGGCAAACAGCAGGCATTCCAGAAATGAGAATGTTTTTCTTTCTCCTCTTTCTCTTCCAGGCCTGGCTTGCCTCTCTTCCTTCCCACAACTCTAAACTCTCTGACTAAACAGAGCCTGAAGTCCCATGTGCCCCGAGGCCCTCACATATGTATAAAGGAGTCAGGAGGCTTCCCGCTGCCTACTTAATACAGCAACTGACAGGCAAACAGCAGGCATTCCAGAAATGAGAATGTTTTTCTTTCTCCTCTTTCTCTTCCTCCTCCTCTTTTTCTAAGATTAAAAGCTCTCTCTTCCTCCCTCCCTCCCTCATTTCTCATCACAGTCTGTCAGACAATCTGGAGCTTACTGATGTGTTAGTCTTTTTGACTGTTTTCAACTTCCAATGTTAATTGTACAGACACATGGCACCACACTCAACTTTTTATATGGCTTTTGGGGATGTGAATTTAAATCCTCACTGTTCCTCTGCAAACTCTTCACCCAAGGGTCCATCTCCTAAGCCGCAAACATGTTTAATTTTATAGTCTCTCGTCTGTAGTGTCCACTTGTGTGAGTTCAATCTATCTCAGATTCTCAGTGCTCAAAATTCAAATTGGCTTGTGGGTCAGAGTAGACCACTTGCCTAGCATCCACAAGACCCTGGGGCTGATCTTCAGGGTCAAAAAAAAATGTGAGAAGGTCGGCACAGCTAAGAATATTCAGAAAACTTGCTTCTGGACTGAATTGGTAGAAATAGTTCTCTTTGACATCATATTCTAAATAATTCAAGCTAGCAGTTATTAAAGAGCTCTCATGCTGTATCCACCGTTTTAAAGTCATGTAAGGGTTATTTAAAGTGTCTGGTAGGCTGCACACAGCTTCTCTGCAAACACTATGCTCTTCTCCAAAGGGCTCTTCAGTATCCGTGGACTGTGGTGTCCGCAGGGAGCCCTGCGGGTATCAGTTGTCAATATTCCTTTGGATAAGATTAGGGTCTGCTGTTCATTTTCCTAGTTCTATGCTGGATTACTATCTGGGAGTCTCTTAGGCCACCCTGGCCAACTACTCAAAAGAAGGTATTTCCTATCTGGCATTGTTGCTTGTTATGTAGCCTTTAGCTATACATATGGACTCTTAAAAAATTATATTGGCCCCTTTAATCTTTGGTTATACTTTCCTTTTGGGTGTTCAAGGCCATTCAGTTGGCCCAGATAAGGCAATTTATTTTCACTCTTAAGGCCATTTGAGGATCTGTTCCTCAGGGGTCACATGGGTCTGGGAGGAGCCCCTGGCTCCTTTCTTTTACCAGTTCCACCTATGTGAAGATAAGTCAAAGGTCCTGCTCGACCATGGCTGGCTTCGCTTGGAAGCATGGAGTAAATGATTTCTCTGTGTTGACCCTTCTCTTTGTAGACTGGACACTGGTTCAAGTCCATCTTGTGGGGTCTCCTTGATCAAGAGAACGGGTGACCCACCACAATTACAGGACATTTTGAGATATGCTCATAGTCCCCTGGAACTAGTCAACCTAGGAGGGCAAGGAGCAAAAACTGTCCTTTATGTCCCTCTGACCAAATTAGTATAGGCCTCAAAATATGTCTGTTAAACATCCAAGAAGGTTAGTTCCACCAGTCTGGTACTTTTAATTACTGTGTGCCATGTAGATAAATCTTGGGCAAAGACCAATTGTTCTCAGATAAACCTTGCCTAGACATATATTTCTTGATCTGGTGTGTATAATTTGTCAGTAGGTTGTTGGAGTAATATGGTTCCTTCTGGTTTTTAAAACTAGCTAGGCATTGTTTATCTCTCACATTGTTTCACCCCTCCATCATCGTTTCCCCTATTACGGTGCCCCCATTTCCCCCTTTCTCCCTTACTAACACCCTCTCCTACAGTCCTACCTCTCTTGAGCTCCTTCTTTCCCTTTATCCCCTAGGTTCCTTGTATACCCTTCCCTCCCCCCTCCCTTAAACTAACCCAATTTTTATCCATAGCTCCCTTATTATCGCCTGTTTCCTACTGTTCTTCTCTTTCAGGTTCTTTCCTTTCCTTTACCTCCCTGTTTCCTTTCCATTATCCTGGTTCCTGTAGTTATGTCTAGATATACTCACTTATCAGAGTTTGGTTCTAGGATCCACATATGAGAGAGAACATACGTTGATTTTTTTTTCTGAGTCTGTGTTACTTCACTTAGTATAAGTCTTTCTTTCTCCTCTTACTCTTCCTCCTCCTCTTAAGATTAAAAAAAATATTTAAAAAAATTGTTTGAGACAGGGTCTCTCTGTGTAGCTCTGGCTGGCCTGGAACTCACTATATAGACCCTGCTGTTTTCAAATTCATTGAGATCCTGCCTCTGCCTTGCTAGTGCTGGGATTAAAGGTGTGTACCATCATGCCTGGCTGTGTGTGTGTGTGTGTGTGTGTGTGTGTGTACATGTGGGTGTGTTGCTGTACTTGAAGGCCAAAGGCAGGAGGCCAATCTCAGGTGGCATTCCTGAGAAGCCTTCCACTGTGGTTTGGTTTTGTTTGTATGCTTTTTTATTTCTTGAGACAGGCTCTTTTGCTGGCCTGGAGCTTGCCAAGTAGACTAGACTGTCTGGCTAGCAAGCCCCAGGGATCTGCCTAGCTCTGGCTACCTACTGGGATTGTGAGTGCAAACCCTTTTTTTTTTTTTTTAAAGAGTAAGTTCTGGAGCTCCAACTCTGACCCTCGTATCTGTGTGGCAAGTACTTCATAGGCTCTCTTCTTAGCCTTCTTTTCCTTCTTAAACTTGGGTAACATTTATGACTAAGGAGCTGTGGGCGCCCTCTGCTGGAAGACTGGGGTTGTTAGCCATTCTGTAATTGCCATACTGTTATTTTCTGTTCCTCACAAACACCTGTTCTCCCTAGGCCATTTCAAGATGTAATCCTGATACTGGTTCTTGCAGTCTCCTCTAGTCCCTTCCCAAGTCCAACAACACATTTGGAATTAAACTGCCTGCTTTGAACTCCACTTAATACTGAAATGACCTTGAACAAGTGATGATTGGTCAGATTTAAATATACCTGATTTGGCCGGGTGTGATGGTGCATGCCTTTAAACCCAGCACTTGGGAGGCAGAGGCAGGCAGATCTTTGTGAGTCTGAGGCCAGCCTGGTCTCCATAGTGAGTTCCAGGCCAGCTGGGGCTACAAGGAGACCCTGTCTCAAAAAGACAAAAAAAAGACCTAAAAAAAAAAAAAAAAAAAAAAAAAACAAACCAAAAAAACAAACCTGATCTAACATCACACCACAAAAGCACTCATAAAGGTCCTGGGAGGATCTTGAGAGATACACAACAGTGCTTAGTGATGATAAAACATGGTACAGTTTTCCTTTGTTGGCTGGAGGGCACTGTTCGTAGTTCCATGGATAATGGATAATGTAGGACTGGTGTTTCTTTACGCTCTGGCAAAGCTGTCTCTTACTTTGATTGCAGCACATTGCAGGGTTTGGCCCTGATGTAGGAAGGACAGCTGAGAAATCAGTATGGCTAGTTCGGGGAGGTTTCTGAGATGAAAAGTTTTAAAACAACTTTGTTGGGATATAGTTAACCTATCCTAAAGTTTACCCACATGAGCTATGTAATGAAATGATCTCAATATATTTAGAGCCATCACCATGACCTACACTTAATCTTGGCCAAAAGGCTGAGATGCAATGGCAATGGCCGTGACCTAATATCAGAGTATCTTCATCATCTTCAAAAGAAGCTTTGTAACAATGGTCACTCCTCATCCCCACCCTGGCCCCCACGATCACTAATCTATTTTCTGTCTCTATTTGTCCATTCTGGGTCTCTCATATAAATGGAATCAACCAGCGTGCGGTCCTTTTCTGAGGTGGATTTTAATCATGTTTGCCATTTGTTGTTTGTTCAGTCATTTGTTCATTCATTCTCTAAACTTTGATTTTTAAACTTGTTCTGCGTATTGTGCCAATTGAAAGTATATGAGTCCAATAATACCACTAAATGCCAGATTTGTGGGGCTGGGGGTTAGTAAACTACTTGCCTTTCAAGCATGAGGACCTGCATTTCATCTCCAGAATCCACTTAAAAAAATGCCAGGCATGGTGGCCCATTTGTAATCCCAGTGCTGGGGAGGCAGAGGCAGCCAGCCAGCCTAGGTGTTGAGTTCCAGGTCAATGAAAGACCCTGTCTCCAAGTGGGGGGTGCTGGGGGGGAGGACAAGTGAGCAGTGTCTAACAAATGACATCCAAGGTTGACTTCTGACCTCCACATGCATATGTACCTGCACACATATGAAAACACACATATAATGTCAAACTTGTGCTTGTGGGCTTTTGTTTACTACTACCTCAGGACACATTCCTCAGACTGATACACACAAACCATGGTTGTCCCTTACACTCAGAGTTTAGAGAGGACAGGGACCTGGTATTTGGACCTGCAGGGATCTTCTGGTTCCATTTAGTATGAACCTGAGAATGTTGTTCAGAGGATTTTCGAGAGCTGACAGACAGGTTGCTTGCCCCTCTCCCACAGGGTACAATGCCTGGAGGCGCTTCTGCGGGCTTTCCCAGCCCCAAAATGTGGCCCAGCTCAGCCGGGTGCTAAAAAACCAGAATTTGGCAAGGAAGTTCCTGAATTTGTATGGGACACCTGACAACATTGATATCTGGATTGGGGCCATTGCAGAGCCTCTTCTGCCAGGGGCCCGAGTGGGGCCTCTTCTGGCTTGTCTTTTTGAGAACCAGTTCAGAAGAGTCCGAGATGGAGACAGGTAAGTGACCCCATCCTAAAACAAACCAGCACCAGAGGCAGAGGAGACACTAGTGTTTCCTGAATGAACAATGGAGAAAGCACTTTTCAAAGCTTTATTCCTCCAAGGTCACAGGACTGAAACCAGGAGGCTCCCCTCTGGAAGGTGGGTCTGACCTAGGTCAGAGTGGTACAACCCGAGCTGGAGTCTGCTTAGGCTGGCTGGGACAGAGACTAGCTGTCTCAGTGTTCTGGGCTAGCAGATCCCAGAAGACATGGAGAGAAGAAACTAAATCTGGTTTCCCTCTAGTAAACTGCTGGCTTAGGACCTGACTCCTTATTTGAATGTGGCATTTGTCTGGGTTCAAATCCAGCCTGGCCACTTAAATTATTGTGCACTCACTCCTGGGCCATGTATTCAACTACTGGTCCTATTTCTTCATTTTACAAACTTAAAATGCACGTGTAAACCACCCATGACATGCTCATTGCACAGTAACCCCCCACCTTCTCCCACATCTTCTCGCCTACAGGTTCTGGTGGCAGAAAAGAGGTGTTTTCACCAAAAGACAACGCCGAGCCCTGAGTCGGATTACCTTCTCTCGAATTGTGTGTGACAACACTGGGATCAGCACTGTTCCCAGGGACACCTTTAGGGCTAGTGTCTACCCGCGGGGCTTTGTGAGCTGCAGCCATATTCCCAAGCTGAACCTGTCAGCCTGGCAAGGCAGATGAGGCTTCTGCAGGTAAGAGGAGGTCCGAGCTCGGTCAGGCCCCCAAATCCCTCCCTGGATGATGGCTGAGTCCTCGTCCCCTAAGCAGCAACAATAGAATTTGTCACTAGGGACATAATACTCTTTCCTAGTGGCTTGCTAACTTCTGGGATGATAGTCAATTCCGGGGTCTACGACTTTGGAGGGGACACTTAGGAGTGTCCAACAGCCCTCAGTTTCATCACTAATGTCCTAAAAGAGCTCTTTGTCTTGACAGCCAATAACCCTCTCTCATGTATCTCTGCTTTTTCCACAGGATTCTATGCCAAGCCTTGGAGACCAGGATAAGGGGAAGACCATGAGGCCGCATTCTCCCCTAGAACTGTTTTCTGTTGGTACTTTTACTGGCTATACCTCAGTTCTCCCCTAGAACTGTTTTCTGTTGGTACTTTTACTGGCTATACCTCAGAGCTGGCTCTGTTAGCTGAGACTGCACCAGGTGTTAACCTGTGAGACAAGCCATGAGGCTCTGAGGTCCCAGTAGGAGACAGCTGGAGGGTTTCCAGTACTTTCTCCCGCCCCTCCCGCACACCGTGACTGATGATCACACAGTTGGCTGTTGGGCCACCCCAGTCCTCCTCCAGGCCTGCAGGCTGGGCAGCATATTCTGCTTCTTCTACCAATAAAACACTGCTGTGGGCAGGCGCTGCTGTCTGTGTTGGGCTGTGGAGGGCAAAGCATTGGTCTCGTGCTTGGCCACAGATGCTAAAGAGGAATGCTGCTAAGACGGAAGCTGGAACTCCCGTCAGAGGCTCTTCTAAGGTTTTAATTGAGAACCACCACGGAGGGAAAGGCAGAAAAGGGAAAGGGGCCGAGTGTGGTGTTGCATGTCTTAATCCCAGCACTCAGGAGGCAGAACAAGCGAATCGCAAGGCCAGCCTGATCTACATAGAGTTCCAGGCCAGTCAGGGATCCACACCAAGACCCTGTCTCAGACAAAACAAAACTAAAGAAGGGGGGTAAGAAAAGGAGGAGGAAGAGGAGGAGGAGGAGAAGGAGGAAGAAGAAAAAGAAAAGGGAAAAGCAGAGGAGTTCAGGCCCCAGCAGTTGGAAGAATAGCAGTTGGAAGAAAGTCAGTCGGGACAAAGATATTTTATGTGAAAAACAAAAAGCAACAATAAAAGACCCTGCCCAACTGGCAGCAAGGACTGGAAACTACCCTAGGCCACATCTCAGACTCAGCCAGTCCTCGACAGTATAACGAGGCTGTCCCAGAATGAAGGGGGTAGAGACTTGAGATCTCTCTCACTCTCCCCTTTTGTGGAAGAAAGGAGGATGTGAGATCTCGCTTGTGCACCTTCTTTCTTGGAAGACATCAAACTCCATTTTTAAAGGTGGTAGAACAAAGGGTTCCCCACAGCTCTCTGTTATTGAAACTATGTGACAAGCCAGAACAGAGGCTCTGCTGAAGACAGGTCAATGATGGGTTCCCCCAAACTAGTTTCAGATTAACAAGACTGCTTTGCTATGACGCCCATAGTAGCTGCAATATGAAAGGCCACATGGGGCCTCAGGGTCTCTGGCTTTACTTCCAAATGGAAGGAAGAAAGTCCTGCTGAAGGCGAGGCAAAGGTGCCTGCTGGGAATTTCTAAGTCTTCCAGTTCGACAGACCAATGTGGTCTCTAATAAGAAAGATGAGGAGGTGAGACAGCACTGGCCTCAGACACCCTTCATCTCATCCTTTTGTTCCACAGGCCGGGGCTGTAGTGAGCTAGATCAGGGTTCCCGAGGGGCTCACAAGGCCCTGGGGGAGACTCTCTCGGGCTTCCTGCATGCGGCGCCGGGCTCGCCGGAAGGCCTCTGCAAGGGAGAAAGACACTGCCATGTAGTCAGCTGTGTGGAGAGGAAGGCGGCCCTGGGTATCCAGTTAGGAATGGAGGAACCTACCTAGCACATTGTGCGTGGAACTCTGCTGGCTGAATCCTTCCAGGCGGTCCAACACACTCTGTATCCTTTTCCGGAGGGAGCTTGATTCCATGAAGGCCCTGCAGGGAAGACCACCACATGGTCAAAGCTGCTCTCAAGCCCTCAGGGACAAGAAGCCCAAGGCTGGGGGCCAGTGTTGCTCACCTGGACTGCTGCAGACAATGCAAGCGGAAGGTGACAGTGCCTGTAGTCTCTGTGCGGAATCCAAAACGGCTCAGGCGCTCCCCCTGGGGCAGACAGTGGAGACTGCAGCAGTTTCTGTGGCCTCTGGGCTGCAGGCGCCATGCCCGCCTCCCTACCGTTCTTACCTTATTCTTGGGAAGTGCAGCTCATCCCATCACTTAGACCCCACCACCCAGGTAACATCAGGCTCCCTGAGGTGACTCAGGGAACAATTCCAACCTCCTTTGAGAATAAGCAGGCTTATTTCCTTCCTGCAAACCTACCCTCCAGCTCATTATTAAGGCTTTCAGTTATGGAAGGAGGAAGGGGCCAATTATTCTGACGGGGATCGGGGTAAGGACAGGGACATCTCTAAGTACACTATTTCCCAAGGATCTCCTAATGTAGACATTTGTACCTAGTTCAAAATACGGGCATGAGTGCCAGCATAAGCCACGGGGGAAGGGGCTATATTACACTGGTGTGATGAAGAATGGGAAAGGGCCTCAATACAGACCCCTAGCATTTACAGAACAGAACAGAAACACAAGTTCTCAGCCTGAAGTCTACTGGAGACAAGTCACCTTGAAGGTTCCTGGTATCCTCACATAGGAGGGGTCCTCCAGCTCCAGAGAACCGCCAATGAAGAACCTCCTCAGCTCAGCCACAAGGCCCAGCTCCATGGGCCGCCATGTGGAGATAGTCAGAGTGTGTGACCCTGTGCAAGGGAAGAGGGGAAAGGGCCCATGTCCTCTTATCGACTTCCCAGCAAGGACACAGGCCCCAATGCCGCGATAACATCTAGTTTGGTGATGAACTGATTGTTGGTGAAGGTTACCATGTTGGTTAACAGTGCCCATTAGGAAGTCAGTAAGACAGAAATTCTAATCTCAGCTCTTCCAGGGATCACTTATGTGCCCAAGACAAAGCTTGTTAACCTCCAAGAGCACCCTTCTCCTTTTACCTTATAAGAGAAGCAAGCACAACACCACATCTCACAGAGTGGCTGGGAGAATTCGCTGAAGAGCATTTAGCACGATGCCTGCTGTGCAGTAACAGACCTTTACTTCTACTTCAAGATGAATGCTGACTCATTTTGATATACATGGAGAGCCCACTGACTAGGCAGCTTCTCTGTCAAGCTGTCAGTCTAGTCGGAGGAGCTGAAGCACATCACAGAAACCATCAGGCTGCTGGACCTCTGGAAGTCAGTTCTGGCTTTACTTACATGTCTCTTACAGGAGGGGAGAAATTCCTCCAAGCAGCAAGGAATCTTTCAAGTCAAATTCCCCAATTGCTACTTATCCCTACTTCTTATCAGGAGCATCTGAATCTTTTAGAAATGTTAGTCTTATTCCTAGGGTCTAGAGCAGGCAGGGCAGGGACAAGAGGTTACCTGGGGTGATAGGCAGCACTACAGCCCCGTAGCCTTCCACACGATACCTCTGCCAGAAGTCCAGTGACAGGACCTTACAGTAGAGCACAGGCCACTCCGGGAGAGCATCTGAGAGCAAGTGAGGAGGCACTCCTATGACATGGGACCTTCATCTAGAAAGGACCCTGACTGAAGTGAGGCGAGATGAGAAACCACTGTTGATTTACTCACCAACAGATTCATCCTCATGGAGGAAGAAGGCTTCAAAGGTGAATGGGTAGGAGAAATAGGCCACTTTGTCCTAAAAAAGAGGAGTGTTACTTTTTACTCAGTGTCACAGGGTGGGCAAAGCCTCACTTGGAATTTTTCTCCTTGTGACCAATGACAAGGTCACCTTCACACAGGAAAAAGAAAAACTGCCACCCTGGTAGGAAGCTAAGAGGCAAAGGGACAGCCAAATATAAGCAGCTGTCATTCTCTAAGAGACCAAAAGTGACCCTGGCCCAGGCGGCCCAGTGGAGCCCACAGAGCAGGCACCCAAACTAGGACTCCTCCATAAAGTGCACAGGGGTTGGCCTAATGACGCTCCAAAGGCCACCTGGAGCTGTCACTCACTCTCGTGCTCCATACCATTCCCAGGGACTTGGTGGCACAGGTCTGGGTTACTCCTGAGAGCTGCGGGAATGCTGGGCTTGACCAGTCTGAAAGCCAAAGACAAGACACAATGAGCTTACTGGAGAGGAGTCACTGAGCAAAAGACAAAGTTCCTTCACGCACTCACTCACTCACTCACTCACTCACTCACACAATGTATTGGTTTACCATTTACTGAGTGTTTACTGATGCCTTTTGAGGCTATGTTGGTGACCAGATTATCTCTCATGGAGATAGCTCCTAGCATGCCTATGGGCAGGGGAACAGACAACATCTATAAGATGTAAAAATGGAACAGCATGAAGTCATGGAGGGACTTGGAGGTTCATTTGCAGTGGGGGTGAGAGGTCTCACGGCAGTGGCACAAGCAGAACTTAAGCCTAAGAAGCAGCCATACAAAGAGGGGGCAGAAAGGGTTTTAGACAAAGCAAATGGTCCTGAAAAGGCTTAAGTTCAGATTGAAGTTGGTAGCGTTCAAGAACAGAAAGAAAAATTGGGAGAGAAAGGCAGGAGCTGATTCACTGATGGTATAGAGTCTAGATTTTACTCTGAGTGGGAAGGGAAGCTGTTAGGGTCTTCAGCTGGTGTGCTTTTTTTCACATTTTTAATTTTTGGAACAGGGCCTCGCTATGTAGCGCACCTAGCCTGGAACTTACTATGTAGCCTAGGTTGGACTCAAACTTCCAGTCTTGACTCAGCCTCTCAAGTACTGGGATTATAGGTGTAAGCCACTATGTCCAGTCTGATTTGAATTTTATTTTATGTGTATGAGTGTATCACCTGCAAGCAAGTGCACCCCTGTCATGAGATGCCTGCGGAGGTCAGAAGAGGGTGTTGATTCCCCTGGAACTGGAGTTACAGATGGTTGTTAGTGTCATGTGGGTGCTAGAAATGGAACCCGGTATCCTCTGCAAGAGCAGCCTATGCTCTTAACCACTGAGCCATCTCTTTAGCCCTTGCTTTGCATTTAAAAAAAAATCTATTCCTTGATAATTTCATAGAACATACGCTACATAAAGCATCTGAACATATGTGCTCCTGACTGCCCTCTCTTACTCCCCTCATTCCTGCTGAACTCCTTCCCAGGAAGCTCCCTGTGTTTGGTTTTCTTTTCCTTTTTTTGTGACCCACTGAGTCTAATTAGGGCTGTGGCATGAGCACTGGTGGAGAGTTATTTACCAGAGCACGGTTAACTAGCTACCTGTTACACTTCTGGGAGTCATTAAGTAATGTCTCCTCCTCAGGGAGGCGTGGTTTGCATTCTTAAAAGCTCAGTATGGTTATGGAATATGTGTTCAGTGAACCGCATCAGGGGAGTATGAGAAGAAGCAAATGGGTAGTCAATGACTTAATGCCTTTCTCAGGCCCAGACAACAGATGATGGGGAGGTGTTATAGGGGGCAGGAGAGGAGACAGGTTCAGGACAGCTTTTGAAGACACAGGTCACAGGAACTGCTGGTAGACTGATAGCTACAGGGAGCTAGAGAAAGTGAATAATCAAGGATGTCTCCTAGAGTTTTGGAATCAGCAACCAGCGACATCACCATTTTTCTACAGTGGGTAAGACCAAGGAAGGGAGGTGTGAGGGAGAAGGAGAGAACTGAGAGTTCTTGGTCATGTTAAACAGAAATGACAAGTAACTGATTATGAATCTAGAGTTAGGAGAGAGGTCAAGGTTAGAGATAGAAATCTGAGAGTCTGAGATACATAGATGGAATTTAAGCTATGGCATGGATGTGACTGCCTAGGAGTAAAGAGTAGGTAAAGAGTATTGCAGGCCAGGTTCAGCATTAGATGCTCTCACAGTTTAAGATCCACCTAGGAGCCTGGCAAGCCCACCATGAGACAGATGGCATATGGAGCCAGAAGCCAAGAGAAATGCTTCAAGACAAGCTGTGTCAGATGCTTCAGAGAGGTCAAGCGTGGTAAAAACAGATCTGGCAATGTGGAGGTGAGCTATGAATTTTCATAGCTGCAGTGGAGCTGGGGAAGAAAGTGTGACTGAATGCCTCTAGATTTGCCTGTCAGAACAGGCAGAAAAGAGATACAAGAATATTACACTAACACTGAAGGCCTTCTGAAAAAGCTATATGGAATCTACTACTACACAAGCTTCTTAAAATATATACATACACAATATAAGAAGAGTTTGAATGGAGTTACCCTATAATGGGGGAGGGGGACAGTGCCCCTAACCAGACACCATAGGCTAGCAAATAAAAAGCCCAGTACCAGGAATGGGCTCCCTCTTTTAAAGATGTTGACTGGGGAGGGTCCCATAGGCCCTCAAACAATACTGGCAATTGCCATTGCTCTTGATTACCTGCCAGAACTTGATGGTAAGACCCTATTGCTGGAGACATTACATACCTGAGTCATAGAACAAACAAGGAGAAATCGGGTTGGTACTGACCTTGAAGCTACATCTCTACTGCCTAGCTTTCAAAGTGCTGGAAGGTGCTATGCATGCTACCTGAAGAAAAAAGTAATCATCAACCTTACCTAGCTGTGAAGCCTGCAAGCTATAATAATGACTGGCCTGACAAGATTTGCCCACCAGTATAATAGTAGCATGAATGTTGTGGAAATAACCAATCACTTTCTGGTTGGATTTAAGGCCCACTTCACAAGATAGAGTCCATAACTGGCACTTTATCAGGGCCAAGAACCTGTGGCTAGACAGGTCACAAGCCATAGGGGAGAACCTACTACTATTAGTCTGCTAAATGTACACAGTACTAAACCATCACCTAATGACTTACTGTCATACCCATAGATAGTGCACCTCTCAACTCTCACCAGAGAAGCTGCTTCTTGCAGCAGCAGGTGGTGATTAACAGACCCACAACTGGTCAACATGCTGAGAATAAGAGACTGTAGAGTGCTCACCCCTCTCTTCCCAATGCTCAGGGATCACTGAAGAAGAGGGAGTGGGAAGATTATAAGAGCCAGAGGTGGTAGACTTGACAAGGAAACTGTTTTCCAGACAGCAGGGCAGTTGCATATATAATCTCATAGCAATTGTCACAGCATGACACAAGACCTTGTCAAGCTCAAGCCAGATAAAATCCCAGGATGGATTTTATCCATGGGGTGCAGGCAAGAAGCCCCAACCCTAGCTGAGGAGCTGCTGGCAAGTCACAGTTCTGGGAGAGGGAGTCAGTTTTCTTTAAGGGTGTGGACACCAGGTAGGTTGACCAGGCTCCAGGGGTGAATCCACATCCAAGAGCATTTGGAGAACACAAATTAGACTCAACTGGACTTAAAAGAATTAATAATAGAGGATATGAAGTGGGGGGATAGTAAGGTGGGAGTGTAGGTAGGGGAGAAGGACTGAATGTGATCAAAATACATTGTATGAAATTCTCAAAGAAACAATAAAAATATTTTTAATCTTTAAAGAATAACACTACTTACTAGTAGCTGGCAATTCCACAAAGAAGTGGATGTAGAGGTTGTCATACTCATAGCCTTGGGCTGAAACTTGAGCGAAAACAGGAAATTAGCCCAATCCAGCCCCAAGGGGCCCACATGCTCTGCAAATAACATAATTCTTTGTGTTTCCAGAAAAGACCCATTGCTAATTCTCCCAAGGGCCACATTCAGCCAAGCAAGCCATGGTGTATAAATTACTCACGGCTCCATCAGACTCTTGCCTGGCATGAAGAGATCACTGTGTGGCAAGACACTCACCTACCTCTCCATTTACAAAGAGCCGGAGGGCACCTGGGACTGTCTGTAGCACAGAGAAATGGAAAAATGTCAGGCCCAGAGGGAAGCAATGTTGCCCCTCCAGCCCTGTCCTCAAGTCTATAGAACACCTAACACTGGGTAGCAAACCTTGGCCACACTACCCCACAAACTCTCTACCCCAACGTGTCTCTACAGAACCCTTTCTTTTACTTCTACAATTCATAGAGTAACTGTACATAATTTAAATGACAGGAATGAAAACCTGTACTGTGCAATGGGAAGTTAGAACCCACTGGTGGCTGAGTGCTCTTTTTGAGTTATTTGTGTACCTTGCACTATCTAACTTTTTAATATGTGCATCTGCTGCATATGCAACACAAAAACAGTACAGGTTACGTCTTTAGAGAGAAAAACCAGTGGGAAATTCCATCGTACTTTGCACATCTAGAATGGAATCCCTGGGAGGCAGGAAAACAGAACAGGACCCCAGAAGAGCCAACCTAAACTGCTTTGGTTTTGTTTTCTAAGATCTTTGAACTGACACCTTTTCCCATGTCTGGGGTGCTCTGGGACACTAGCAACGTGAAGGGTACATGACATTTTTCATCTTACCTTATTTTTAAAATTAATTATAAATTAACACAAGAATGCATTACCACTGATAAAAACTGAAAACCACCTACAGCTGGAGAACAAGAAATCAAAATACCTGACATAGTCTTCTCACTACCCAATATCTATCTACCATCACCCATCCCAGCCCATCCTAAGGCAAAGCCCCACAGTGTGTGTGCCCTTTCAGACCCTGTTCTATGCATGAACAGTTCTATACCAATATGAAATATCCTGAAACATTTCTTTGACTTCCTTTTTACCCTGCAGAGTATGTCTCGGAGCCCTTTGGAGAGGCACTGCTGCTCTTCCACAGTCAGAATACTCTTCCTAACAAAGCTCATGTGCTGCAGGAAGTGAGCTACCCACCGTCTCAAAGTCTGTGCCCACAAGGCTGCTGAGGTACTCCTTGTGTCTGCCATAAAGCTGAGGAAACAAAGCAAACCAATCCTCAAAATGCAGCCCAAGCCAGAGCAGGGTTCAGTTCTAAACGGGAGAAAAGAAGCAATAATGGGAAAGGCCAGGCAAGCTGGAGGCATGAGCATCCCAGGCACTGACATTTTAAAGATATGCCAAGTATGGAGGCTCAGGCCTGGAATCCCAGCACTTGGAGACTGAAGCAAAAGGATTGCTGCAAGTTCAAGGCCAGCTTGGGTTAGACAGGGAATTCCAGCTAGCCTGGGCTACAGAATGAGACTGTCTCACTCTCCACCAATAAAAACTAAAATAAAGCAACACACAGGCTCTGAAGTTGGTCAGTCTAGGACTAAAACCTGGCTCTTGTGCTTACAAGCCCTGTGGCTACTGGCTCAATTTTAGTGTCCTTGTTTATAAAATGGTAATAACTGGGGCTGTAGTGATGGCTCAGAGGTTAAGAGCACCAGCTGCCCTTGCAAAGGATCAGGGTTTAGTTACCAGCACCCATGCGGCTGCTAACAACCATCCCTAACTCAAGTTCCAGGGGATCCAATGCCCTCTTCTGGCCTCCATGGGTATTGTTTGACACAGGTGCACTTGGAAACAGGCAAACAAAACACTCAAATTCATAAAATATAAATAAAAGTTTTTAAAATGATAATAACACTCACCTCGTAGGGTTGTAAGGCCTAAGTGAAATGCATGTATGTGCCTGGTACAGAGCACAATCAGTACTCTAATAGTGGCCAATGGTTATGCTCTGCTACTAGGTTCCAATAGGACCAAAGCCTTCTGCTGTGTCAGCTGTGCTTTCTGGGTGGTTGGGGGGGGTTTCTGCGAAGGGCAAAGCTCTTCCTCAGCAACCACCAACATCCACTCCAGACATGGTCTCAGCTTCAGGAATGGGAGCTCCTCCCTCCAGGACGAGGAATGGGCTAGTGCTTACATCCTTGAACACACGCTGTTCCCGCTCCTCTTCCTCTGGCTGTGCAAGGGAGGAGACGTTGTCGATTGTATATTTCCACAGCTCTTGCTTCTCCCCCTGGGTCTCGATTCTGTAAGGTCAAAGTCACAAAAGGATCATTTCTATTGGGAAGAGGTGTGGCCCTCCAGACCCAGCCCAAGGATTTAATGTCACTGATGACACAGCTCACTTGGAGTGACAAAGATATGACAAAGACGGCCATAAGGATGGCCAAGGGAGGGAAACGGCAAAGCCAAAAGGGTGCCAGACTAGACCCAGAGGTTCTGGGTCCATTTCTGCCTCAAAGACATGGAAAGCCCTAAAGCACTCAGTTCTCTCACCTGAAAAGGGGACAGGTTGGTCCAGGTGATTTCTAACCCAGTGCTGTCATCGCAAGTACAGAGATGAGGAAGAGTGGACCTGGCCTGGCTGACTTCACCTCCCCTTTTCTGGCCAGTCCCCACACTCAGCAACACAGAATCCTTTTCACTTAGGCGCACTGCTGATGTGATTCCTTTCAAATTGACTGCACATTTTCTAGCTATTTCTTAAAGGCCTATGGCCCAGAGCAGAATAGGAATTAAAAGTTTGGGAACAGGTCAAGGGCTTTCTAGGAATCTGTTCAACTAGAGGCAAGAAGGGAAACCAGGGAAAAAATATCAGTCTCCACCACCCCTTTGCCCCTCCCCACCTGTAGGGTCCTTTAATGCCAGTGAAGTCAGGTTTCACTGTGATCACACCATTGCTGTCCACCTTCAGAATACAGAGGACATGTTCATGTGTCTTATAGCCGAGCCTAGGAGCCAGGAAATCAACATCAAGGATCAGAATCACAGGTGCCACCTCCAGGGACAGAGGAAGAGGCAGTCAGCCACTCCACAGGGAGAGCCCAGGACACAGTGAGAACTTCCACGGTAAGTTGTACGTGTAAGAACTTACGCTTCTTCTGAGTACAGCAAAGAAGAAAAAGCTCCTCCCTCCTATTTCCCCAGATGACTGTGACAAAGTGTTGGTTAGCGACAGAAGAGGAGGGTCTGAGCTGGCAGGGAGAAGTGACTCACTTTCCATAGGGCCCAAGGTCCGCCATGATGTACATTGTCTGAAGAGGGGTGTTAATAGCATGGTTGTTTCTGATGAAGTCTTCTGAGGGTTCCCAGGTGACGATGCGAGACTTGAGTTTGCTGTCCTCCCTGGGAAGGACCGTAGGAAAGGGTCATTTCCCTGACACCCACGAAGAATCTGAAGGAGACCATAAGGGAGCATTCCTCCCTGCATGGTGTCCATAGCAGAATAGGAAGCACGAGTCAGTAGAAATTTCAGGAACATTAGCATGAGAGGACCACAAAGACCCCCTGCTCCCTGTTTGCACTCACATCCCTCGCCTGTCCTGCCGCCGCCGCCTGACATTCGCCATTCGCTCAACCAAGAATGACGGCACCTCGTTGGCCATGGTGGTTATTTTCTGACAGTACTGAGAAAAGAAAGCAGCCCTGTGAATGCCATGTGGTTAAGGCCACATGGCAGCACCAAGCATCTGAAGGGAAGCCTTCCCTCTGAATCCTCCTCCGAGACGCAGACCTAACAGATGCTGCCCCACAGGTACGTGTTGATGGAGAGGAACAGTGGCACCAACAAGGAAGGAAGACTCCAACCATCTCAGTGTGCCTAGAAATGAGTTATTTATGCTAATATTAACACCAGCCTGCATTCTCTGAGCACATACCAACAAAAACTTGGGTTGGATTGCCTGGTGTAGTGGTTTGAACAAGAAATGTTCCCCCCAGAGGCTCAGGTATTTGAACCCTTGGTCTACAGTTGGTGGTGATGTTTGGGGAAGTGATGGAACTTTTAGGACATAGAGCCTTGCTGGGGGGCATATGTCACTGGGGGTAGACTTTGGAGTTTATAGCCTCATCGCACTTCTAGTTCGCTCTCTACTTCCTGCCGGTGGAGAGAGATGTGATCTCTCAGCTTCCTGTTCCTGCGGCCATGCTTTCTTGTTATTATGACATCTACCCTCTGGAACTGTAAGCCAAAATCAACTCAAATCTTTAAGTTGCTTTTGGTCATGATAATTTATCACAGCAACAGAAAACTAATATACCGAGTAAATACTGATGTTTAACTAGGTGACTGGAAAATGCCTAATAGGAGACATGTGTTTTGCAGAAAGTTCTCACATGGGCAATTAAGCACCAACTGTATTTCTACTTGCTTTTCCAAAATAGTCCAAAATTTATGCTATCGGCACAGTTCTCCTGAAGAAAGCAGTCCAGTGTTTCCAAAGCAATCCATTAACACCTGCTCCTTGCAGGGTTCTGGATTATAGACACAAAAATCAGAAAACAGATTCTGCATTCAAGGAACTGAAAATCTTCCTGAGAAGACAGAACATACATCATAGCTGAAGAAAATGGAAAGCAAGTCCACAAGGGTACACTGACATAGACAAACCGAAAACAGTCACTCCCCACGACCACAGCGATTTCCTCTTCAAACTTATAACTGGTGAATTTTAACTAGATTGTTCCAGACTCTGCCCACCCATCTCACCAGTTTGCACACTGCCAGCTCCCACAGTCCCTCCCACAGGCAGAGGAGTGCAGCAGTCGCTCCACCTGCAGACTGTGCCCACTCCACTCCAGCCTGGCTCCCAGCAGCCTCTGCGACAACTACCTGTCTCTCTTCCAAGGCTTCTCACTTAACAGAACCAGTGAGGCCCAGAAAACTACGGGAGGCAAAGAAGGAAGCTACGGTGCCGCAGAAGGAACAATATACCTCTTCCAAGTCGGTGTATCTGTCAGAGTCAGTATAGGTAAAGATTCGCCGGTTCTTCCTGCCCCCAGAATTCTCCAGCTTCAGAATCTCTTGGCGGTACTGACGATCCAAAGGACTCTGACACGCTGATTCATTTTGGTACAGATCGACTTCAAACTGAGGTCACCACAAAGAAACAGAAGGACTGAGAAAACATCAAACTCTTGTTCCTATAACTGTTTTGAATAATAACTGGCAGGGAGCTAAGAATGTTAGATCTAAAGGGAGTCTATTCTGAATCTGGTGTTGTAGATGACACAGAGCCCAGAGGGGGAAGTGCCCTACCCAGAAGGTGAGATGTAGTGGCAGTTACAATGCCCCCATAAACACAACAGGGGAAAGTACAGACCAACAACTTTTTCTGGAAGCCAGTTTGACAATATGTAGTAGCAACCTGAAGGAGTAGGGTAGGTGGAAGGAGACCAAGAAGGCAAGTGAGGGGGCTGGAGAGATGGCTCAGTAGTTAAGAGCACTGGCTGCTCACAGAGGACCTGGGGTTAGAATCCCAGCACCCACATGGCAGCTAATAACCATCCATAACTCCAGTTCCAGGGGATCTGATGCCCTCTTCTGGCCCCTGTGGGCATTGCATGCATTTACCCACATGCAGGCAATACACTCATACACATAAAACAAAAATAATTTCTTTTAAAAAGAAGGCAAAAGATGCTGTCTCACCTGGCTGAAGAGCTTCTCCTGCCAACCAATCACAATCTCTTCCTCTTCGTCTTCATCTGGGCGGTGGCCACCTCCAAACACAATACAATGAGTCAAACTAGCAACTCATCTTGCTCTGTGGCAGATTATAACCAAAGTCCTGACTCTTACGTGTTTTGGTTTTTTATTTTATTTTTACTGTTGTTTGAGACAGTGTGTCACTCTATAACCCCGGCTGGCCTCAAATTTGCAATCCGTCTACCTCAGCCACCCAAGAGCCGGCACTGATCTGTAAACCACCAGGCCTTCAAAGTCTCTATTTACATTTACCACAGAACCCACTGGAGTTCAGTGATTCATTAAACACTCAATCTAGACAAGGAATACAGAGGCTGTGAATGTACTTTAGTTAGTATGAGAAGAAACCAAGATTAGGACCCAGCAGTCTTTATCATTAGCCCAATTTAAATAAAAGGTAGTCCTTCCTTTCAGGAGCTGTCTTGTCTAATTCAGTATTAGGCACTGTAATTCAGATACAGGCTGAAAAACCAACTCTTCCTCAATCCTGCCTGCATTTGCTAGATAGGAGTCCTGGTGCTTTTATCTTTCTTATTTCTAAAGCCACAGACAGAATCATAAACACTGTAACTCAGGAGGCCAAGTGTCAGGAGAGGAAGGGTTGGCAAATAAATGATTTTTAGAGAACCAAACTGAACGCACTCCTGGCCAGATGTCTTTCTCAGAGCCCCATACTTTACAATCATCATTCCTCCCTTCTGCCCAGGAATATTTCTGGAAGAAAGAAAAATAACAAAAGCAAGAAAGACTAGCGACCCAACACAGTGACCCTGTCCTCTCTTTTGTTTCCCAGATAAGGAAAAACATATTTTCATGTAAGCTCCTGTTTTAAAATTGGTTTCAGTGGTTAAGAGCACTGGCTGTTTGGGGCTGGAGAGATGGCTCAGTGGTTAAGAGCACTGGCTGCTCTTGCAGAGGAGCTGGGTTCGATTCCCAGCACCCACTTGGCAGCTAGTCCGTAACTCCAGTTCCAGGAGATCTGACACCCTCTTCTGACCTCTTCAGGCACTGCATGACATGGGTGCACTTACATACATACATGGAATATACTCATCCACATAAAGATAATAAATAAAATATTTTAAATTGTTTTAAAACATGTTTACATGTGTACTTAGAGTTTGGGACATATACTCTCTTAGACAAAAAAAAAGTCACAATTAGAGCCACCCAGTGAGTAAAGGCACCCACAGTCAAGTCTGACAACCTGAGTTCAAGACCCAGGACCCACCACACACATACATACATACACACACACACACACACACACACACACACACACACACACAAGCACAAATAAATACAATTTTTTTTTTTTAAAAAAAAAAGATTGCCTGTTTTCAAATCAAATCCTGGCTCCAACATTTCCTAGTTATGTGACCTTGGGCAAGGACTTCAATCTCCTTCTGCCTTAGATAGTCCTCCTCTATTAAAAAGGTGCGGACTTCTTTTAAGACCACAGCCCTAAAACTCCTCCACCCCTACCCCTTCCCAATTTTCAAGGGCATCACCCACTAGCAGTTGGGTGAGGCCTAAAAGTGGCCAAGTCTATGAGGTCCTTCCCCAGCTGGGCAGCAGGCTGGTAATGAAGAAAATTGCTTGATGTGATTCTTTGCAGATGAACTCTGTCAAGAAAAGAAAGGCCCAAAATACACTTTTCAAAGACACAGCAAGGCAGGGCAACAAACCACAGTTGGAGTTGCCAAGGCAGGCTCAGGCTGCAGGCAGACCACTGGGAGGAGGTGGGCGGGGCGCGGGGCCCAAGCAGGAGACGTGGGGCTGAGGTGATGTGATGGGGACGCGAGGACCTGAAAAGACACGGGTGGGTCTGGAAGGTACGATTGGAAGCTGCGAGTCTGAGAAAGGTATTAGGGCGAGAAGTGCAGAGAGGGAGAGGAAGTAGTAGGGATTGCAAGCGGAAGTGGGGGCCTCAGAACACCCAAAAGCTCGGTCTGGAATTAGTGCATAAAATCGTGGGGCCCCGGGGCTGGGGTGGTGCAACTACCGGAGGCGCAGGTTGCGCACGGGGTCCCGGGAGCGATACACGGCCTCCCCGGTGTCAGTGCTCCAGACAGAGTCCGCCATGACAGCTGCTCCTCTGTGCGACCGCGCCGGAAAGAGCGGCGCCCCGTTCCCTTGGCAACGGAAACGCTGTGTGTGCGGCGGCAAGGCGGGCACCGCGCTGCACTCCATCCCTGGCCAGCCAGGCCCTGCATTCCACCCGTCTGGCTACACTGTATCGCCGTAGGGCGCTCTGCAGATCCTGGCTCGTCCTGCGAGAACAAACCCCATTCACAACCAAAGCGGTACTTAATGCGCTGCACAAATGGGGAAACAAAATCGGTCATTTCATTTAGGTGCAGAAATGGTAATGGAGGCAGAACCAAGTGACCTGAGTCCTCGCTTTCCACCTGTCCCACTATACCACTCTCCTTCTACTGAACATTCGAAAACCTTGGCCTGAAAAGTCAGCGTACACACAGAAAAATGCACCCATTATTCTCAAATGAATCAAGGAAGGTGATGTCACGCAGACATAGGAAAAATAGTTGGGGGGGGGCGGCTGCTGGAGAGATGGCTCAGTGGTTAAGAACACTGGCTGTTCTTGCAGAGGACCCGGGTTCGAAGGGTTCGAATCCCAGAACCTACATGACAACTAACAACTGTCGATAACTCCAGTTCCAGGGGATTTGACAGCCTCTTCTGTCATGGGTGCACTTACCTATATGCAGGCAATACACACACACACACACACACACTCACACACACACACACAATGTTTAAAATAATAATAAAAAAATCATGGGACAGATTTATTAGAGAAAGAAAAAGCAAGAAAGTTAGCAATGAAAACAAGGAAGCCAACAGTAAGGAAGGAAGAGATGTTTTTATGAACTGGTACTTCCCCTGGGTATGTTTGTTCTGGATTATTGGCCACTTTAGATCCTGTGCCGGTCCCTGAAAAACCAACAAAGTGACATTCAGAAGTCATGGGTCATTGGATTATTAAAGGAAGGACTCAGTATAAGCTCAATTCCGGCACCTTGGCAATGTCAACATCTGTTTTTGACTGTTGCTACTCTGGCAACAGAATAAGGGACTCATGCCAGTTTGGTTATAGGCATTAGAGGCACTGAGCAACTTAGCCACAATTGTGTAACATCAAGAATTCACAGTGAATAGCACCATTTCTTTAGGATCAAATTCAGCTTGTCTGCCTTTTCCCTAATCCTCATGAAAACACCTGCAGGAGGTACTTTTATTCTCATTTGAAAGATTAAATTAGGGCCATGTGTGGTGGCATATGCCTTTAATCCCAGCACTCGGAAGGCAGAAGCAGGTGGATCTCTTTGTGAGTTCAAGGCCAGTGTGGTCTACATAGTGAGTTCCATGCCAGCTGGGGCTTCAGGGAGACCCTGTCTCAAAAAGACTGAAAAAAAAAAGAAAGAAAGATGAAATTAGTTAAAGGGCTTGTTAATGCTGTATCCCAAAGTGATAAAAGCCCTGGGATTCCAACATTGTTCCTCTATCTTTTGAAGCCCCAAACCTTCCATTGACTCACGGTCTGTCATCTGCCTCCTTAAGGACACTCAGTTTCTAATTTGAGAAATTAGTTATTTCAACAGATAAAAGCACAGAGAGACTGGCACATTAAAAGAAAGGTCGCTCAGATTTTTCCTTTAAAAGATGAGACTATCCAAGCATGGTGGTGTATACTTAGATTCCCAACATGGGGGAAGCAAAGGCAGGAAGATTTCAGGTTTGAGACCCTGTCTCAAACAAAAACAAAAACAAAAAACAAACAAAACAAAACAAAACAAAAAAACCCATTCAAGGACTGTCAAGATGGCTTAGCTGGTAAAGGCCCATGCCACTAAGCCTGATGACCTGAGGTTGATCCTCAGAACCCACATAAAGGCGGAGGGAACTTACTCCACAGAGTTGTCCTCTGACCTCCATGCTGTGCCAATCACAATCCCCTCAACACACATAATACACACACACACTAATAATAATAATAAAATTTTAAAGCATTTAAAAATTTCATTTATATGCTTATGTGTTTATATGTTTATATGTATATGTTATGTGTTTTGCCTGCATATATGCAAATGCACCTGTACAGGAGTCAGATCCCCTGGAACTGAAGTTACAGTTATGGTTATTAGCTGCTATGTGAGTACTGGGACTCAGACCCAGGTCCTCTCCAAGAACAACAGTGCCCTTAATTGCTAAGCTATCTCTCAAGATTCCTAAAAACATTTTTTGAATAGACAACTGTGTTACATGAATAATAGAAAATAAGGATGGAGCTTGCATGAGTAGTTTAGTTTTTTTCTTAATGTGTATGAGCGATTTGCATATATATATGTGTGTGTGTGTGTGTGTGTATGCACTTGTGTGTGTAATGCCAGAGTAGGCCATAAGGGGGTGTCAGATCCCCAGAAGTGGAGTTATGGATGGTTGTTAGTCACCATGTCAGTGTTGGGAATGGAACCTGGGTCCTCTGCAAGAGCAACCAGTGCTCTTAACCATGAGCCATCTCTCCAGTCCCAGCAGTTTAGTTTTATAGCAAAATCAAATGTATACCAAAGTCAATTTGACATAATTATATGCAAAATTGTTATTATACACATGGTGTATAATAACAGTTATAAGCTATTTATATAAATAGCCATAATTAGCATTATTTTTATACAAATAAACTATGCTTTTATTTTTCTTCTTGTCTACTGATTTCTATAAATTCTGATTTTAAAAACTGAAGTCTTGAAGTGGGATTCAAGGATTTGCCTTTAGAATTCTGTGTTCTAGTGCATTTTCTTGAAAAAGTTCATAGGTTTTGGGGGGGATTTTTTTGGCTTTGTTGTTCTTGTTGTTCTTGTTGTGCTTTTGTTTTTGTTTTTGGTCTTTTTGAGACAGGGTCTTCCTGTAGCTCCAACTGGCCTGGAACTCTTTATATAGATCAAGTTGGCCTTGAACTCACAGAGATCTGCTCGCCTCTACCTCCCTGAGTTCTGGGATTAAAGGCGTGTGCCACCATGCTTGGCTAGAGTTCATAGTTATTAATCAGTCTGGAAAGAATTAGTACCTGATATCAAGAATAGCCTGATTTTTATTTATTCTCATCATTAATTGTTTTTATTAACTATTTGTGTTACTTATCAGAAAACCACTAGTTTACATCATTAGCCCTTTGTGTCTGTGGGGTTTCTCATCCGTGGATTTAACCAATTGCAGATTAAAAATATTCAGAGGAAAAAGTGTATCTGTACTGAACACATGTAAATTTTTTTTCTTGACATAATTCTCTAAACAACATAGTGAAACCATTATTTACATTGCATTAGATATTATTAATAATCTAGAGAAGATCTAAAGTACACAGGAAGATGTGTAGGGATGTAGCTCAGTTGGTAGAGTGCTTACACAGCGTGCATAAAGCTCTGGGCTTAATTCCCAGCATCACATGACCAGGAGTGTGACACATATCTGCAATCGCAGCACTTGAGAAGTGGAGTCAGGAGGACAGCGGTTCAAGGTCATCCTTGGCTATATAGGTAGTTCACAGCCAAGTATGACTCTGTCTCAAAAGAATTTTTTTTTGTCTTTTTGAGGCAGGGTCTCCCTGTAGCTCCAGCTGGACTAGAACTCACTATGTAGACCAGGCTGGCCTTGAACTCACAGAGATCCACCTGCCTCTGCCTCCCAAGTGCTGGGATTAAAGGCATGTACCAGCACGCCTGGCTAAGAATTTTTTCTTTTAAATTTCCGGTCCTGGTTTTCAAGATGACTAAGAAAGAAAAAGAAAGGAAGGTCCAACAGTTGAGCCTCATGCAGCAATCTATTCACTGCATAAACTGCATCTGAGGCATGCCCAAAGATAAAGCCATTAAGAAGTACATCATTAGGAGGCAGATGCTAAAGGCCAGTTGGCCTACATAGTAAGTTCCAGACCAGCCAAGGCTATACAGTGAGACCATCTAAACAAACACAAACAAACAAACAAAAACAACAACAAACAAGTTAGTCATTTGGTGCATAGTAGAGGCTGCTGCTGTCAGGGCCATTTCCGAAGCAGGTGTCTTTGATGCTTAGTGCTTCCTAAACTCTCTGTGAAACTGTGTTACTGAGTTGTGCCATTCACAGCAAGGTGGTCAGGAATCTACCTCATGAAGTCCAGGAAACCCAGTATCTCTACCCTTTTTTAGAGCAGCTGCTACTGCCCCACGATCGCTAACACACACACACACACACACACACACACACACACAAAGTACACAGGAGAATATGTGTAGGTTATGTTGCTGAAGTATGTCTTAAACTGAAAAGCTTCTCCAATAACATGTTATTTTAGGAAGAACCCAGTAAATGTCAGCTCTGAACCATTTTGGTTTGAAACAGACATGGAAGGGTTACCCATGATGTTAGACAGGAGTTTAGTCCTTATGCTGTGAAGTCTCAAAAAAATAAATAAGAGTGAGGTATATGCTATATGCAAGGACAAAGAGCCACACTTTAAATATGAAGAAATATCTTGAAAATCAAAGGATGGAAAAATATACCATACAAACATTAATCCAAAGAAATCTAAAAGTAACTATACTAATATCAGACAAAATAGATTGCAGAACAAAGGTATTACATAATATTTTATAACAAAACTTCAATTCATTAATAGGACATGAGAATCTAAATGTTTATGTACCTAATAACAGAACCTCAAAATACACGATGCAAAAATTAATGAATGTGAAAGGAGAAATAAATTGACAATTATAGTTGCAGATATCAATACTTTTCTCTCAGTAAATAACCAAACATTCAGACAGACAGAAAAATCAGTGAATATAATATAGAAGATTTGAACACATCATCAACTAATTTGAACAAGTTAGCATTTGTAGACTATGCCCCTAAGACAATGCAGTCTTTTCAAGAGCACGTGAAACATTAACCAAGCTAGACCATTTCTGGATTATAAAATGAGTACTAATGATTAGCACTTCCAGAATAAAGCACACTTGAAGATCAGCCAGTCGAGGTAACCCATTTCAAGGAACAGAAAAAAAAAGTGACTAAAAGTGAACAAAGCCTTACATATAACTAAATATGAAAACATATTTTTTGGTCTTTTTGAGACAGGGTCTCCCTGTAGCCCCAGCTGTCCTGGAACTCACTATGTAGACCAGGCTGGCCTTGAAC